GGAACCTCCTGGGCAGTTTGTGCCCATTGCCTCTGGTGCTGTCAGCAGGTACCACTGAAAAGAGCCTGGTTCTGTCCCCTTTGCACCCTCCCTTCAGATATTTATATACATTGATAAGATCCCCTGGACCCCACTCTTCTCCAGGCTGAACAGTCCCAACTCTCTCAGCCTCTCCTCAGAGGAGAGATGTTTCAGTCCTTTAACAATCTTAATGGCCTTTCACTGAACTCTCTCTGGGGTGTTCATGTCCCTCTTGTGTACTGGAGAGCCCAGAACTGGACTCAGCACTCACCAGCACTGAATAAAGGGGCAGGGTCACCTCCTTCTACAACTGGCAATGCTCCTCTAATATAGGCCAGGATACCATTTGCTTTCTCTGCAGCAAGGATGCCTTGATCAAGTTCAATTTGGTGTCCACCGAGACCCCAAGGTCCTTCTCTGCAAAGCTGTATTCCAGCTGATCACCCCCTGGTCTGTGCTGCTGCCTGGTGTTGTGTGTTTCATAGAATCACAGAATGTCTTGGGTTGGAAGGGAAGGTCATCTAGACCAAACCCCTACAATAAGCAGGGACATCCCACACTACAACACATTGCTCAGAGCCCCATCAAGCCTGACCTTGAATGTCTGCAGGGATGGGGCCCCCATCACCTCTCTAAGCAACCTGTTCTGGTGATCCACCACTTTTGTATTAAAGAACTTTTTCCTCATGTCCAACCTAAATTTACCCTTTCCTAGCTTAAGACCCCTGGTCCTATTGTTACATGCCCTGGTGAACAGCTCTTCCCCAGGCTTCTTGTAGGCCCCTTCCAGGTAGTGGAAGGTCACTCTAATGTCCCTCTGGAGTATTCTCATTCTCCAGGCTGAACAACCCCAACTCCCTCAGCCTGTCATCACAGGAAAATGTATTAAGCATTTAATAATCTATTTTTATAGAACATTGTTGTTAAATACAGCATCCAGTCAATTTATGAAATTATTAACATCCCTAACATGGGCATGGGGGGAAATAAACCATGCAGTTTTCATTTTGCCGGCAATTCATGCTCACGAAGATGCCTGGTACGCAGGAAGAAGGGGCAGCTGCCCGACGGAAAACCTGCAGGTACATCAAACGTAAAATACGTGCACACTTAAGATATCGATACCGGAGATGGGAGCAGGGGAGATGCCAAGCCTATTTGCATGGACAGGTTCCAAAGCTACCTCCCGGGACGCGGCGGGGGCATCGGGGCAGGGCCGGGCAGGCCTGAGGAGCCCCGGCAGCCCCGGCCCCTCA